CAGGATATAAAAAATTTGATTAAATACGTAAAAGGAAAGTTTTTTTTAAGATATACAAAAACTTGGTGCCACTTAAGAGAAAGGCTAAATACAAGGTATTTTATGTTAAGAATATCAATTGCTCATGTTACAAGTGACAAATACGTAGAAACTAAGCTGTTTTGAACACAATACTGTAATGACTTCCATACTTGGGGGTCAGAAGCCCTGAAAACCAATTATGACTCATCCACAAAAGGGAAAAAATGATCCAGAAGAAAAATCATAAGAGATTTTCTAGTCACATTTTACTGAATATCAAACACTAGATTTTAAAACAAATTCATGAGAGTGGCAGAAAAAAGATTTCTACATAACATTTTTCCAGCTCTCCTGAAATTAATATAGCAATTCATAAGGCAAGAACCGTAGTAAAAACACTTGTAACCAGCCTATTTCTCCAATACTATCTGGGGAGAAAACACCAGGCTTAAGAAGTGAATAGCACAGTTCAGCAATGAAGAAGTTTAAAAAATCTGTTCCTTTCCTCCAATAGTAAAGACACCTCAGGCTGCATTTATGATCCTCCACATGTTTTCTTTTACCTATAGTTCTTAGTCTCCCACTCTAGCATAGAAGGTAACTTTTCCACCCATTTCATTGACCCACGGGGCTTGGACTTGTGTTACCTGAACCGCCCTTCTACTCCACTTTCAAGGTTCTCCAGTCAACACAAAGCTCAAGACAGCTCACTGTTGCTCCATAGACTAGCTTAGGCCCAAAGTGACTATTTTTTCTTCCTCTTGTGCAATTGGGTGGGGCCTTGAACAATGTAACAACACTCCTCTCCTGCCCACACCTCTAACGTGCTACTGAGAGAAGGAGTGCACCATGCAGGAGAACACCCTGGCCCATCGTCAATGAAAGCCAGCCTGGGCTGTCTGGGGCTCTCCCATAGTGGAGCCCTTTCCTGAGTAGCCTGACAGCAAATGTCTCAGGATTTTCACAGAACAGTACTAACAGGATTCACTGAATGACAAAATTCCTCTTGGCTAACTAGTGCACATTTTAAAATAAAAATGTCTGTTACTACTAGAAAAGGCCCCTCTCATCTGTAACAACAAGAATCAAATAATCTTTGTGTGAACTTCAATAAAAATAAACACAGTGTTTTAAAAAGTTAACTTTGGGGGTGTCTTGGTGGCTCAGTCGGCTAAGCATCCGACTTCAGCTCAGGTCATGATCTCACAGTTTCTGAGTTCGAACCCCGCGTCAGGCTCTGTGCTGACAGCTCAGAGCCTGGAGCTTACTTCAGATTCTGTGTCTCCCTCTCTCTCTGCCCTACCTTCGCTCACACTTTGCCTCTCCCTCTCTCTCTCAAAAATAAATAAACATTAAAAAGTTAACTTTGTTTTCCTTAAAGACTCATACCTACATAATCAACTACAAATATTTGTCAGAGATTTTTCCTCCCCTACAGCATAAAACCTTATCTGGCAATCATCTAATCTGTAATGACCACAGTTGACATTGAACGTGGGCTTGAACTGGGCAAAGCCACTTATATGCAAGTTTTTACAGTACAGTACTATAAATGTCTTTTCTCTTCTCTATGATTTTCTTGGTAACATTTTCTCTAGCTTGCTTTATTGTAAGAATACAGTACATAATACATATAATCTACAAAACATGTGTTAATTGACTGTGTCATTGGTAAGGCTTCCAGTCAACAGTAAACTCTAAGTATTAAGATTGGGGGGAGACAAAAGATATATAGATTTTTGGTGGTGTGGGGGTTGGCATCCCTAATCCCTACATTGTTCAAGGTCAACTGTATTTTATCTGTAAGGTAACAATTCATTCTCGAAACACTGCTTCTGTTTTGCTATTATCTGAACACCAGTAGTTGTCCCCCAGTGACAGATCAGCGTTTTCTCTGTTGTCTATCCTTAGCCCTTAATCTGATTTCCTGGGCACTTTCCTTTCTCAATTAATGATCTTACTCATGGATTTTTCCCACAACACATATAGGAAGTTACCCTGACACCAGGGGCCTTCATGACACCAAAGGCCCAGTCAGTGTCTCAGACAAGTTGAATTTTAATATTTAAGAGATGTCAAAGCTCAAAAGGCCATAAGAAGCTTACTTCTTTGCTGAACAATGGCCTATTCACTGGCAACTGCCAACACACAACAAAACAAGTAAAATAAACATAAATATCAGTGAAAAAGTCAAGCCAATCCTCAAACTTAGCTTTCATTCATAGACAACTGTTCATATGGCTAGAATTTTAAACCACACACGTCACATTTTCTACTTGTCAAATAGCACCTAAATCAGATAAAAGAATTAAGTATCTCAGTATGTCACGGAGTTGTGCAGACACCATGATCAATAGAGAACACCAGTAGTGATTTGGATGATCACTACTGATCTTCACTCGGATACACATGCAACAGGGGAGCTATAACAGCCAAAGCAGCAATAAACACCATTCTGTAAATGCAGCCCTTAAATTATTCCCTCCTGTCTTATATTATATAGAAAAATAAAATATTAATTACAAAAATAAAAATGTTAGTTTTTAGCCAGTCTGAAAAGGGTAGATTATGTGTGATTCCCTCTCCTTTACTCTTAACCAAGCTGTTTTTGTCTAGCCTCTTTGGCTAAATTCCCAAACTACTTAAAACACCAGAGCCCTTTATATGTAGCCAAGCCACCAAAAGAACCCAGACCTTTGCTACCCAGCCCCAGAAAGAAAATGGGTTATTAACTTGCTCCTCAGTGAGGTCTAGGGAGGGGGAAACATCTATCTTCTACCAAGATATAAATTTTCATGGAGTATTTTCTTCTTTGCCCCATTTTCTCTTTAACCTTTTCCTTGTGTTTTAACTTTCTTCCATCTTTTTTTACTCCTTCATCTCTATACCAAGTTCTTTTTGCTTCTTCTTTTCATGATCTTTAGGGCCGGAATAATGCCTTTATATGACAGTTAAGAAAGATATACAGTAGGGGGACTAGGGAATCTAGCTCACATCAACAGGATCAGCTATTGTCATCAACTGTTGACAAAATCCACAGTAGCCAAGAAATTATTTAATATCTACTATGGATGAAACACTGTGACAGGAATGATGAGGGAGAAAAGGAATAAAACAGTTTCTGCCCCCTAAGAAGTGACAACCTAGTTGGAGAGATCATGCAAAATTGTGCAAAAAGGTTAAACAACATAAAGCAGTCAGAAGACTGCAGTATGTGCTCTAATATACACGGGTTGTGATGTTTGGGCCCTGAGACCAAAGGAGAGTACAACCACTGTGTTGTATGGAGTCTCAAGAAGGCTTGCTCAGGAAAGTACAAGTTAGACAAGGAGCCCTGAGGGTATAAAAAGTGAAGAAGGGAAGGGAGGGTTTTCTATGGAGGGAAGACTTTCCAGGGGGCTGACCCCATATCAGTTTAATAACAAGCAAGAATGTAAAATGGTAAATGTTATATGTATTTTACCACAATTTTTCAAAAAGGAGGACAGGTGCCTGGGCCCCTCGCCAGTCAGCAATAGAGTAGGAAAGTTAGCACAGGTGGCTTGAAAAACAGAGTTCTTATGCATAGATGAGAACCATCCTGATGAACTTAGTCAACTGGTACTGTCCAGCACACAGCCACACATCCGATGATACCTTTTCTATTTAAATGCCAACACTGTGTATAATCTAACAATATGGTTAAAGCAAAAGAAACGAGTTGATCAGATAGAGAGAGGTGTGCATTGTGAGGAAGACACCTGATGCTTCTTTTCTACCAGGGAAATGTCCTCTGGAAACAGAGGTCCCAGCAGCTTTGCTAAAGCTATGGTGTAGAAATCCCAAAGCCAGATGTTCCAATGGGTCTCCATTCTTCCGAGTTTTCTGCTGAGCACAAGAGAAGTCTCCAATCCTTTCAGAAGTGAATCACAAACAAAGCTTTAGATTCGGCTTCCATTAGCGGGTAATAAAGCCCTGAATATCTAAATCCAAGATATTAGTTAGCCTTTGCTGACTATCTGGGGAAAAAAAAAACCCTAAACTAGTAGATAAAGGAGCTTTTATAAAAACAACACACCACACATCTTAGTTACTTCCATTTAAATACCAACAAGAAAATTATTTGGTTGAAATCATGCCAATGTGCCCCTGACCTTCAATTTGAGCAGATAACATATAACAGTTCCTAAAGGAAGGTCAGTGAAAACAATGAAATAAGAGAAATGTCCCCACTTTCACATAATGGCCAACATTAGAGGAGAAAGAAAACACGCTAGGAAATTGTCTAAATGACCATAAAGATTTTCATAGTACACAGTGTTCTATGTGAGCGTACTATGTACTAGTCTAATATTACATAGCACAAAATGTGCATGGTAAGGACAACAACTGGCCTGAGGTGCACGACTGAAAAGCATACTAGTTTAAGTGTTAAAAATAAGATTCTTGCTGGAATAACCAACTCTTTAAATTTTCCATATAAAACCCCTCAAAAATCAATGAAATACAAGCTAAAATTTCTTTCAACATTAAACATTAGTTTATGATACAATGGAGCTCAATTAGCGCAGAGGCAGTGATTATTCAGGGCATACCCTGGTTACCTCTCAAGACATCTGCCAGTCATTCACACATGGTCATGTAAAGGACGGTGATCCTCGGGCTAATCACATCTTACTTCATAAAGTTTCATAAAACTCACTTTCTGAAACCAGTGTTAATCCATGCAATTCCACTTCAATGTATTTCCAGTCTATCCCGAATCCACCCCTCTCTTCCTTTTTAATCCTTAGTAATTTGGGAATTTGAGGACCTTAGATACGCATATATGAGGAAACAAAATAAAGCATCAAATGAGTCAAAGTAATGCAGCATACACCTAAATTTGGTTTTTCTACAGGGCCATTCATTTGATCAATACAGAGGAGACACCAGTTAGCAACAGCTCATATTTAGATTTAATTGGGGGAGTTACTCCTGGAATTGACAGTACTGCTCACCTTTAGAACAGAGGCTAAGCTGGTCATGTGCTCATTGAGGGCACCCTCGGACTCCTTGTAGGTCAAGCAGGTGAACTGGTACTCCTCAGGATCAAAGGCATCAGCCCCCTGCTGCTCCACATCGCTGGCTACTCCCACGTAATAGTCCTCTATGTCCCCAGGATCTTCATCCTCTTCTTCTTCCTCACAATTTGGGTCATAGTCCTCTTCATTGCTGTCAGACCCCTGGCTATTCATGTCCACAGACATCTTAGCATCCAGCCAAGTTGCAGATCAGGAAAGCAGTTTTTTTCCCCTCCCCCCAAACTTTAGCACTTTCTCAAATGCATTAGTGTTTTTTGTCTTCTAAGGAAGGAAAAGAAAAAAATAAGCGTTACTTTCATTATGAGAAGTTATAACAGTAACCATTCAAAAATCAAAATGGCATAGGATGGCCCTACCCCCATTATGGCCTATTCCAACTCTAGCCTCATATAGGAAACTTCACCATCATCTCCCTGCCCATGCTTATTGAAGGGAAACTCTTTCCTTGAAGGGCAGAAGCAGCTAATGATGTAACTTCACAAGAAGGGCCTGGCATGAAAGAGTAAGGAAGGAAGGCTATCTGGTCCATGTCAAGGGGTCAAATTCCCATGGACTTATCCTTCTTGTGGGAATCCTTAAGAAAGAGGCACTAGGCACCTAGGTAGCTCAGTCGTTTGGGTGTCTGGCTCTTGATTTCAGCTCAGGTCATAATCTCATGGTTTGTGAAACTGAGCCCCACACTGAGCTCTGCGCTGACAGGAAGGGGCCTGTTTGGGATTCTCTCTCTCCCTCTCTTTCTGCCCTTCCTGTGCAAATGTTCTCTCTCTCTCTCTCTCTCTAAATAAACCAAAAAAAAAAAAAAAAAAAAAATCACACCTCCACAGGTGAAGCAACCTAAAGGTTGAACTACCAAGTTTAAAATCTCTTTGCTAATTATGCCCCACTGAGTGGTGACACAGAAGAGTACACAAATGACGTAGTTCCTTTCCACTATAATGTCTAGGAAATTGTTCTCAGATATCTGGAAAACAGGTGCATAGTTAGTAAAGAAAAAAACAAAAGACACAAAGCTCTTCAACATTCTCCTCTAGTCTGCAAAGTTAACTGATTCTTCAGTTTTAAAGGATTCTACTGATCCTTTTTTTTCTTAGATATTTTTATTTTTTTATTTTATTTTTTTTCTTAGATATTTTTAATTTTTAAGTAATCTCTACACTCAACATGGGGTGTGAACTTACAACCCCTAGATTAAGAGTCACATGCTCCACTGACTAAGCCAGCCAGGCACCCCGCTACTGATTCTTTAAAAGGGGTACTTTGAGGCAAAGAAATTGATCCAATAGTGAAGGAAAACTACGGATATTCTGCCATGGCAGAATGAAGGGTAGGAAAAACCAAAATCTATTTATTTAAGGTGAAGAAAAAGAGTTCAAATGGGACAAGTTAGGGGCGCCTGGGTGGCTCAGTTGGTTGAGCGTCTGACTTCGGCTCAGGGCATGATCTCGCGGTTTGTGGGTTCGAGCCCCACGTCGGGCTCTGTGCTGACAGCTAGCTCAGAGCCTGGAGCCTGCTTCTGATTCTGTGTCTCCCTCTCTCTCTGACCCTCCCCTGCTCACGCTGTCTCTCTCTCTCTCCCTGAGAAATAAATAAAACATTTAAAACAACAACAACAAAACAAACAAATGGGACAAGTTACTTTAAAAATCCTCTTAGGTCAAAGTGTTACTCAATTACATACAAAGGAAAAGAGAACACTAGTTGAGAAAGCAAAACAATTCCAAGTCCTAATTTCACCTCAAAGAAGATTTTGGTAAAAACCCATTAACTTTTCTGCAGAAGTATGGTTTCAAGTGATCATGTGCAAGAAACAGTATTAAACAGTGATTTAAATCTAAAAACTAATAGGCCTTTAAAATACAAGAACATTTAATCTGGATTAAATGCAAAAGTAAATCTATCTGACCAAAAATAAGACAAAAAATAAAAACTAAAACACATTAAAATGAACATATACTGAATCTGTAACTAGTCTAAAGGACTACAGAGCCACCTTTTAATATTATCCAAATATCAGTGAATCAAAGTTTGACATGCTAACCATAAATGCCCAATTTTTTTAAAAGTCACATTAATAAGAGAGCAATAATATTTGCAGTTTGACTTCTAACAAATTGTTTGGTATGGAAGAATGACCTAATTACAAATAAACTATGGTATTTTTCCTTTAGGAAAATAAAAGTTAATCTTTAAGTTAAAAATACCTGTAATTCTTGAAGATCTTTCAAGATGTCACCCCAAATATTCTATGTCATATAACTTCCATCTAAAATGAAAAGACAAAACTCTATTTATATTTTTGAAGTTGGCACCCTTGTTCTGCAAACTTAGTTTTTCAAAAGCAAGGACATTTAAAAGGGTACGCAGCAAGAGACCAGAGTAACTATGAAATTGTTTTCTTGTAAGTGCCACGGAAACCTGTATGTCATTATACTGAAAAGACTTACACGGCCCTCAAAAAGAAAGTATTCAAAGTTGACAGCTGATAATAACTTATCCTGTAGTACTGGTGATGTAAATACATACCCAATTCTCCTCCTCAGTTTGAAAACCTACCACCTTACTCCTATGGCTCAGATTTCCTAAATTACTAGCACAATTTCAATGCTAAATGTTACACAGAAGTTGGCAAAGTAAATTGCAACTGACTTAAAATGAGACTTTCAGTATAAAGTCACTTCCATGGTGGTAATCTAATACAGAATATCGCCAATATTTGAGAATCTCACTCATGAAAAATTTACTCATGAAAAAAATATTTTGAAATAAAAAAGTCCCCAATAAGATGTCAAGTAGCCTATATTAACACCCATCTGCTGCCTCTCCTCTGACATGCTCAAGGGTCATCTGACCCTCTCAGAAATACAGATCTTACTATCCAAGACTACATAAGTACTACTACGTGCTTACTCAATAAGAAATCTTAGGTCAATTTCTTTATCCTTTAGGATTTCCTAGAAAACCAGAATTTATAGCTTCAAAAAAATAGTTCAAAGGTAAATATAAATTAAATAAAAATTAAAGTCCAAATAATGCTTATGAAAGATTATTTTTTTTAAATTTTAATGTTTTAGGGGCACCTGGGTGGCTTAGTCGGTTAAGCGTCCGACTTTAGCCCAGGTCATGATCTCACGGTTCGTGGGTTCGAGCCCCGTGTCGGGCTCTGTGCTGACTGCCAGCTCAGAGCCTGGAGCCTATTTCAGAGTCTGTCTCCCTCTCTCTCTGACCCTCCCCTGCTCACACTGTCTCTCTCTCTCTCCTAGAAATAAATAAGAATATTTTAAAAAATAAAAATAAATAAATTTTAATGTTTAAAAAAATTTTTTTTTAATTTTTTGAGAGAGAGACAGAGACAACGTGGGCAGTGGAGGGTCAGAGAGAGGGGGAGTTACAGAATCCGAAAGAGGCTCCAGGCTCTGAGCTAGCTGTCAGCACACAGCCCAACACCGGGCTCGAACCCACAAACTGTGAGATCATGACCTGAGCCGAAGCTGGATGCTTAACCAACTGAGCCACCCAGGCGCCCCTGGAAGATTATTTCTAAAATAGAAAACAATTGGGGGCGCCTGGGTGGCTCAGTCGGTTAAGTGTCTGACTTCAGCTCAGGTCATGGTCTCATGGTTTGTAAGTTTGAGCCCTGCTTAAGGCTTTGTGCTGACAGCTCAAAGCCTGGAGCCTGCTTCAGGTTCTGTCTCCCTTTTTCTCTGTCCCCGCCCCCCACCTGTGCTCTGTCTCTCAAAAATAAACATTTAAAAAGTTGTTTTTAATAGAGAACAAATGACTTTTTTTAAAAAGCTTTTTTTGTTGGGGCGCCTGGGTGGCTTAGTCGGTTAAGCGTCCGACTTTCACTTAGGTCATGATCTCGCGGTTTGTGGGTTCGAGCCCCGCGTCGGGCTCTGTGCTGACTGCCAGCTCAGAGCCTGGAGCCTGTTTCAGTCTGTGACTCCCTCTCTGTCTGACCCTCCCCTGCTCACGGTCTCTCTCTCTCTCCTAGAAATAAATAAACATTAAAAAAAAAATAAAAAGCTTTTTTGTTTTACCTTTATTTTTATGTAAGATACTACTTCTTGGGTGAAAAAAACTATAAATATTGTTCACATCTACAAAATTTCACTACCATTATTAGCTCTCATTTAATGAGAGCCAATTTCAGATTTGACTCCTTCTCATAAAATCTTCATAACCCTACAAAGTGACTATCATCCACTTCTTACAAATGAGGAAGCTACTGTTCAAAAAAAATTAAGTAACTTGTGCAGGATCACAATGCTGGCAACCGTATTACCCAAAGACAATATTCCCCCCAGATTCATGACCTGTGGGGATTCATAAATCCCCATCACCCTCCTGGAGAACCTAATACTATCTACCTCCAGAATCACAATGAAGGCCATGCTTTCCCACTTTCTCTGGATTTCTCCCCAGGATTGGAGCTCAGATGTTTGTCCATAGACTTCTCACCAACTAAATATTCAAGAAGGAGGGTAAAAGACTCAGCTCCAAAAAAGAGAAAGCCATTTCACACTTACTGGGTGTTCTAGGTCTAGATTTAAATATTTAATTTTTAATCTTTTCAAAGCTAAATATCCCTAATTCTACTTAAAAGAGTACTGACATTGCTCAAAAGGGGTCAGAATGTTGTCTTATTAACAGAACTGACGACAACGCTTTAACTTCCTTTAGATGTTAACTATTATCCCTACACCCTAAACAGAGAAGGAGTAACAGAAATTACTTCTCCTCCAGAGCCGAAGTCACATGTTCAAAAGACGTGACACTCTCCCTGGGCTAAAGAATCCAAACTGAAGACCTCTCTCAGTTTAAAGTTGACAAGAACAAAACACCTTTTGGCGAGTCTGACGATGTTTACTCCAGACATAATATTTGGCTCTGGTCATTTACTAAGGTTACATCTCCAAAGAAAACTACTTAGCACTTTTAAAATATGAACCAGCAACTTAGTTTCAAAACCCTACATTATACCATTCTAAGATGGTTGGCACTAGCCCTATGTGATTATTAAATTTAACTTAAAAATTAAATAAAACCTAAACATTGGGTTTTCAGTCGCACTAGCCACAAGTGAAATGCTAGCCACATGTGGCTAGGGACTACCCTACTTAGCAGCAAAAGTATAGAATATGTCCATTGTGGCAGAAAAGTTCTATGGGACAGAGCAACAATCAGTACAGAGGTCAAGTCATTCGAAAACACGCTGCCTCTCCCGCAGCTAGCACAGCAGAGTCCGGCGAGACGGCAGCGCAGCTCTCGGGCCGAATGTCGGTACTGAGGCGCCGGGACACCCTCGAGGACACGGAGCCACGCGCAGGGGACCCTTCGCGGGCGGGCGTTAACTAACCGTGCGAGTGGCTCTGCGAAGGCTCCGAATTGTGACTGGAGTTGGAAGCCCCAGGGGCGGCGCGTTTTCCCGGCGCGCCCGGTAGGGAGAGCCCAGATGCACCGGCGCCAGTCGGTCAGAGGCGCTGGCCTCCGACCTCTCCTCCAGCTGGGAAGACCGCGGGAGGAGGAAAACCTGAGAGACGCCAGGCGCCCGCCCGCCCCAGGCGTTGCCTTCAGCCGCCCCTCCGCGGGCGGCGCTGAGACGGTGAACCGGCGGCCGCGGGGCACCGGGGCCCCGCGGGCGGCGACGAAGGCGGAGCCCCGACCGGGCCAGGGAGGCGCGCGGGGAGCCCACCCCCCCTCCTCGGCGCGCCGGGGTAAACAAGGCCGCGACCTGCGCTGCACACTTACCGGGAGCCGCAGCCCGCGGCCGCTAAGCCCGGGCGGGCCTGACCGGGTCTGGCCGGGCCGGAGAGGTCGGACACAGGGGCGAGGCGGCAGCGGAGGCGACGGGCCGACGCCGGTCAAGGCCCGCGCTCCTTCCTCCCGCGGAGCCGTCTCCGCAGCTCCGGAAGTGCTCAGCACGGTGCGTCACTTCCGGCCCGGGGTCGACCCGCGGTCGCTGAGGTCGCGACTGGCGCTGGGTATTAGCGTCCCTTGGCCGGCGCTTCGCTGCAGCACAGCATTCAGACCCCGAGTGTGAGCGGGTCATGGCCGGCTTAGACGGCTGAGGGAAGCAGCGGGGGAGAGGGGTCGCCTTATTGGAGAGTGGTCAAGGCAGCTCTTCCGGCTTCCACCAGCCGCCTCCCGCCAGGATATTTTTAACCGCAGTTTTTCTGATGGACTGCTCCCTTCACTGTATTCTAGTGTAGCGCACATAGAAGACATAATGACGTCTGTGGAGTGGATAAAGGACTGTTTCCCGGACGTTATCTGGTGGAAAGAGAACTGGGCCTTCGGGTCAGCGCGCCGGAACGGGAATTTCTGCCTACTCTCTCAGGCTGCCGCCTGGTGGCCCCCGAACCGCAGAGACCATGCCGGCTCGGCTTTCCCTATACTCTTCGGCTCAGTTCTCCAGCTTCCCATTCACCGTACAAGATTGAATCAAAATTGTGTTTCTTAAATTTCACATTGCCTTGCTGCACGGTTTCTTCAAACAATATGGGAAGTATGTGCCGTTATGTCTCCCCGTAACTTCTAGGACCTGTTGCCAAGTATTGTGGGTAGATAGAGCCACTGAGTTTCGCCCAAGTTACTGCTGGACAAGTGGAAATGCGGGTGTGAGGCGGGTGATGTTAGGGAACATACTGGCTGTTGAAATCCTCATAACCCAAACTATTTCCACCCATTCGCAAGTCGTGCATGTACTAATATTCAAGCTATGTGTAACGAGTTCTTTAGTTCTTGATTTTTTTCTTGCATGTATCCTTGTATCTCTTTTCCTTCCTTCCTTCCTTCCTTCCTTCCTTCCTTCCTTCCTTCCTTCCTTCCTTTCTGGACCGAGAGAGCATGAACAGGGGAGGGAGTAGAGGGAGGGAGATAAAGAATCTCATACAGGCTCCACGCTCAAGGTGGAGTCTATCGCAGGGCTCGATCTCATGACATTGGGGTCATGATCCCAGCTGAAATCAAGAGTTGGCTCTCAACCGACGCAGCCACCCAGGCGCCCCTCCAGTATTTCTTATACATGGTTTTCAGCTTCCAGTTTAACTCCGAGCATGTACTTAAATGAGACGCAGCCAAGTTCTAGAAAGCCTCACCCCCCCTCCAAAAAAAGAGAAACAACGACTTGAAAGCCCAAATTAATTTGGAGTGAAAACTAGTAGCAATGAGTAACAATTGTAGGATTATGAATTTTATATGCATTAGCAACATAAAAGTCTACTAAAATCTAATGTACTAATTTCATTTGTTTTGACAAAGCATTCCTTTAAGTTAGCAAAGAAACTAAGATATATTTTGTGCAAATGAAACCTCTGTTTCATATCTGGGTTCTCACTTTGGGTCTAGTAATAAATGCTCTCCAGCAAATAAAGGAACAATCAGTCTTTCTGTAATATTGTTGGATTTGCAAAATAGAGAATTTGTTCATATGTCAAGAACATGGGTGCACATACAATATATTGGAATCCTATGTGTTTTGTTTTTTGTAAGGAATGATCTTGAACACTACTACTACTGGTCAGACTTTCTGGAAACAAATGCTGAGATGGAGTTGGGGGAGCAAGGTATTTATTAGGGACCAACCTATGTAAAGGGAAGGGGTGGGAAACAGAATTAGGCAGAGGCAAAAGTTAAACTGTGTTGCAGGCCCAGCAAAGCCACCCACCAACCTAGCAGAAATCACTGGAATGAACAGTGCCTATCAGAGTATCTCGTACTATGTCAGACTGGCCAGGCATTTATATGCTTTTACATGCTTGGATTTATAGCCTTGCTCAATCACTGCATATGAGCTGCCTTGGGAAGTGTATGACCAGAGGGGAGGCAGCTATGTGAGGCTAAGGTATATCTGGAAGGACTGAAAGCTAGAGGCTCTTTGCTACTGTTTGTTCCACAGGTGGGCAGCCAGGCCTTCCTTGAAGAAGGTTCTAGGTGGTAAAATTCCATGTCTACCACAAATATTACATGGTTCTTAACCATCTGTTGAGATGATCATAGGATTACCATCCTTACCATGTTAGTGTTATGATCACACTACGGGGGTCATGGATTAAAAAAAATTTTTTTTAACTTTTTTTTTTTTTTTTTTTTTTTAGAAGGCTCCGTAACCAACATGGGGCTTGAACTCATGGCCCTGAGATCAAAAGTTCATGCTCCGCCCACTGAACCAGCCAGGTGCCCCACGATTCACTGATTTTAAACCATGTTTGGTGATAATACCTAATCCATTTAAAACCTTGTGGAATTCATTTGCTAATATTTTACTTTTAATATTTTTGTTATTCATGTATTAAGTAATAGTAGTTTCTGGTTTCTTCTTTGTGTGTGAATGCTATCTTTGTCTGATTTTGGGTTATGCTAGCCTCTAAAATATAGAAATATCAGTGATACAGAAACTTGTTGGATATGGCCCGGGTACCACCTCACAAATGAATCTGTGGAAAATCAAATAGCTATATCCTGGGCTAAGAGATTATAGGGAAGACATTGCAAAACAGAACAGTGTTTTCTAGCATTGCTGAAAATAGCAGGCTCTGCTTTACTTATTTAGTTAATGTATATCTAGGGGTCACTCACCTCGCTTATCTAGTTAATGTATATCTAAGGGTTAGGTCCTGTCTGTACTCATAAATTCCTTAGACCATGTTATTGCATGGAATATTTTATCCTGTCTTAACTTGTTTTTCTGCATGCTTTCTATATGTTCTTATTGGCAGGTAGCCCACTGACATATTACACAATGTTTCCCTAAATGTATGCTCAATAAATATGGGAGCTTGCAAGCAGCTCAGGAAAACTTCCTTTAGCCACCCTCTCACCTCTCTGGACTTGCATGGAGTCTTAAGTAATCCTTTCTGCCATCCTTGGCTTTGCTGAACAAAGCTGAAAGCTGAATCCACAGGAATCTTCTGGCATTTTTGTATCATTCTTATTTTTAATTTAACACCAATGATTATTAAATGACTATAAACTTTGCAAGTGTTTTTGCTTACCATGTTTTCTTTGTAGGATTTATTTGTCTGGCTGTAGTATATTCTTTTTTTTTTTTTAATGTTTTATTTATTTCTGAGAGAGAGAGAGGCAGCGTGAGCAGGGGAGGGTCAGAGAGGGAAACACAGAATCAGAAGCAGGCTCCAGGCTCTGAGCTGTCAGCACAGAGCCTGACGTGGAGCTCGAACCCACGAACCATGAGATCATGACCTGAGCCAAAGTCAGACACTTAGCCAACTGAGCCACCCAGGCGCCCTGTGGCTGTAGTATATTCTTGAGTAATTCTTTCAGAGAAGGCTTGTGGTAGGAAACTGTCCAAGTTTTTCTTTTGTTTAGTGAAAGCATGCTTGTTACTTCCTCTCCCTTGAATGCTAGTTTGGCTGGGTATAAGATTCTAGGTTCAAAATTATTTTACCTCAGATGTTGGAACTTATTATCTGTTGTTGTCTTGCAGTCAGCATAGTGAATGAGAAACCTGTTGTGTTTCTATTCTTATTCCTTGCTTGATACCCTTTTTTTTTTCACTCTGAAAGCTTTTAAGATTCTTTTCCCTTTTGTCCTAAAAATTTGCCACAGTACATATAGATGCCTTTTGTTATTCATTTTGTTTGATATTCCTAGCCCCTTTTCAGTGGAAAGATGTGAGTTTCCTACTGAAATATTTTCTTCTTTATTTCTTTGATTATATCTTTCTCTCCTTACTCTGTCCTTTCCTATTGGAACTACTATTAGAGAGGTAGAAGCTTTGGAAACTTTTTAAAAAATGTCTTTATTTATTTTTGAGAGAGAGAGCCAGGGATGGGCAGAGAGAGAGGGAGACACAGAATCCAAAGCAGGATCCAGGCTCTAAGCTGTCAGCACAGAGCCTGATGCAGGGCTCGAACCCACAAACCATGGCAGCATGAACTGAGCCAAAATCAAGAAGAGTTGGATGCTTAACCACTTAACCGACTAAGCCACCCAGGTGCTCTGAGAGGTGGGAACTTCAGAATTTATCTTCTGTGTCACAATTTCTCTATCCTATTTTTCAGTTTGTCATTTTTTCAACTTGTTTTTTATTTTTTATTTTTATTTTTTTTAAAGATTTTTTTTGACGTTTATTTTTGAGAGACTGAGAGAGACAGAGCATGAGCAGGGGAGGGTCAGAGAGAGGGAGATACAGAATCTGAAGCAGGCTCCAGGCTCTGAGCTGTCAGCACAGAGCCTGACACAGGGCATGAACCCACAAGCCGTGAGATCATGACCTGAGCCGAAGTCGCACACTCAACCAACTGAGCCACCCAGGCACCCCTCAACTTGCTTTTTAAAGAGATGAATCAGCTTGATTATTCAGCTTTCTATGTGGCCATATTTTATTTTATTTTATTTATTTATTTTAAATGTTTTATTTATTTCTGGGAGAGAGAGAGAGACAGCATGAGCAGGGGAGGGTCAGAGAGAGAGGGAGTGACAGACTCTGAAACAGGCTCCAGGCTCTGAGCTGGCAGTCAGCACAGAGCCCGATGCAGGGCTCGAACCCACGAACCGCGAGATCATGACCTGGGCGA